TAGTCAAAAAAAGCTTGTGTATTTTTCACACTTAAAATAGCCTCTAAAGAGGGCATGAAGTGAAAGTGAAGTTGCTCAGTCGTGTCCAACTCTTTGCGACCCCATGAACGATAGCCTACCAGGCTCTGCTGTCCATGGGATTTTCCAGGCAAGAATACTGGAGTGGGCTGCCATTTCCTTCTCCAGGGAAAGAGGGCATAGTCTCCAACAAATTATTTTGATGTGACCAGGAAGAAAATAGACAATACAGAGAACTTCTCAGAGGGCCATGGGCCTCAGAAGAGAACAGGCAAAGAGTTACTCACTGAGAGAGAACATAGTTAGTGATGGGCCAGCCTAGGAAATAACTCCACTCTCAAGGCAAGGACCCTTGGCAATCCCTGCCTCAAAGGATTTATTTGCTGTGGTTCAGGGACTACCGTTTACATTGTCCAAATTCCCTTTCCTGAGTAGGAGCCTTTATTTCACTTCTTCTGGTCTTGCTCCTCCACTGTTTATTGCTAGCAGGGAGCTTAGATAACTAAATGTTTACAGGTGATCATGATGAAGAGTCCATTCTGGATGGAATAGAGAGAACTGAATATCAAGTAGAGATTCTTGACTTTTGGACTAGATGATGGGGATCTGGGCTGTTTTCTTTGGGGAGTGAGTGAGTACATTCTGTGTGGGAAGAAGGCAGCATGCAGACAATTGGATGGTTGGAGGGGCAAACTTGCAAAGAAGCTGATAATCAGTTCTTAAATCCTTCCACAGTCATAGAACTGGACTACATTTCCTGGCCTGTCTTGCAATTACAACACATCTAAATTCTCAACAATGTCATGTGAGCAGAAGTGATGGATACTGCTTCTCAGATCTGGCTCTTCAGACCTTCACATTCCCTTCTCCTTACATGCCAGCTGGAACCCATATGTGATGGCAACCCTGCTTTGACCATACAGACGATGACATGTCCTAGGAGGTGGCAGAACAACAACTTGGAGCAAACCTACATGATCCCAAGGAGAAAAGCTGTTCAGCCAATCTGGACTGTTTTCATTGACATTATTCTCTATAAGAAAAAAAAAATACACTTCTTTGATCACTTAAGTGTTAGGTCGTTTTGTTACAATGGTCTTACCATCACTAGTATATATAGTTGATGTCAGAAATCCATCTCTTCTTATGCTCTGGACTTGTGAGGAAGTCTTGGGGGGAACTACCTGCCTGTGTGTTTATTCATGCTCACATGTGCAGTAAAGAAAAAAAAGCTGGTTAAAAATAAACTTTGAGGAGTATGATAAAATAAAAATATATACTTAGTGTTTGTCCCTGACTCCTAGCCCAGAGTTTCTAAAACACTTAGAATTTCCCGAGTAACAGCAGTGTCTTTTGTTGTTCATAATTAGCACCTGCTGACTACACTTGAGACTAGGCTAATGAGGTGATTCAGGGCGGGGCCCTAGATAGCATTATGATGGTGGCTGGTTGGCAGAAAGACCTAACATGAGACGAAAAAGTAGAACTCTCAGCCCCACTCCCCAGTCTCTAGGAACAGGAAGGGATTTGAGACCAGCTTATAAAAACTCTCCAGCAGTGACGTTTGGGGAGCTCTTGTCTTTGTGAACACACGCATGTGCCGGAAGGGTCGTGCACCCACAGCAAGGTCTCCACCACCAACCCCAAGGATCGCCTGACTCATCTCTTCTGTTTGGCTGTTCCTGAGTTATGTTCTTTGTAATAAACTGGTCACTGTAAGTAAAGCATTCTCCTTATTTCTGTGTCAGTCCAGTGAGTTACCAAACTTGAAGAGGATGTTGTAGAAATCTCCAAATTTACAGCTGGGTGGACAGAATATAGGGGCCTCTCGGACTTTTGAATGATGTCTGAAGTGGCGGGCAGTCACGTGGGACTGAGCCTGAACCTGTAGGGTCTGCATTGACTCTGGATATTTAGTGTCTGAGTTGAATTCAATTCTTGGACATCTAGTTGGTGTCAGAGGATTGGAGAATTGGTGTGGAAACTTGCCACAAATTTGGTGTCAGAAATGGTACCAGAAGAAAGACACCCTAGGAGATTAATCCTACATAGAGTGTGGAGTGATAGGGGCTGACTCTAACATTTGCTTTACCTAAACACTGCAGTTTTGCCTCTGTCTCTCTGAACTCCTGCAGGTTGGCAACAGTAGCACCAACCTCAGGCACCACTGGACTGCCAGCAGGAGGCAAGAACCTGGTGCAGTGCCAACCTAAGAAAGTGTTACATTGGACTTCTCTAGCCTCAGAAGTGTGGTTGAGAACAGTAAATGCACTGCTTATTCTACAGATACCAGATCATCTTATGGAACTTGGCAACACATGTCCCCAAACTGATACTGTGACCTTTCACCCGCTGTTGTGAATGGTCATCACTCAAGCCCAGGCTCTAGAAGACAGAGCTGCTGGACAGTCATGCATTTCTGCCCCTTCCCCACCACCTGCCCTGCTGCAAGCAACACTAGGAAGAATTCTAGGATTCTGCGACATCACTTTAGGTTTCTGTGCCTGAACTAGGCCCAAGCTGGGAATAGCAGACATATGTTAAACTGAATGAGAAGCTGAGGTTTTGATTTACATTGGGCTGAGCTTTTTTTTTTCTTTTCAATTAAAATTTTTTTCTGGCTTTGATGAGATATAACTGTGGACAGGGTTTTTTAATACCTGAAAATGATACTATCTGTTAGTATTTTAAAGTGAGCAGGAAAACTATAGGATCTGCCTGTTTAGGATCCTGTATAGGATCCAGGGAAGAAGCGAGAAACACATAGAATATTTGAAAGCAATAGACAAAGCAAATCATGTGGCTTTCTGTTTGTAGTTGCCAAGTGCATTTTATTCAACGTGTAATGTGGATCAGGTTTGGGTGTGAACTCCTGCCTACTTGGCTATCATGCTTCCACCATAACCATGAATCAGTGGAATGGCTGATGAGGTCCCTGTTTTCAACAGCGATATCATTTGGTAGCAATAGCAACAACAAAAATTTGATTTTTTCCTAAAGTTTTTCTCTCTTCAAGGCAAGAGCAATTAGAACTAAACCCTTAAGCTCAGTAAGCATCAGAGATTCTGGAGGGAGAAATATGATCAGGAGAGAAAAATATTCCAGCACAATACACATCCCCAAAACAGTTAATGTGAGTATTCAAAGGTGGGCTTCCCAGGGAGCTCAGTGGTAAAGATTCCACCTACCAATGCAGGAGATGCAGGAGACACAGGTTGGGAAGATGCCCTGGAGAAAGGAATGGCAACCCACTCCAGTATTCTTGCCTGAGAAATCCCATGGACAGAGGTGTATGGTGGGCTACAGTCCATGGGGTCACAAAGAGTCAGACTGAGTGACTGAGCGCACACACACACACATATTCAAAGGCAAGTTTCACGAAGCTATCTTCTGGCCTTGAAACTGTCTAACTCCAGACTTCTTCTATATGAGACATAAATTGACAGCTTATTTCACTCAGTCCTCTTTGATATAATATCTGTCATATATTAAAAGCTTCTCTAAATAAGCAAAAGATAAACAACTTTGTAGAAAAATAGGCAAAGGAAAGCAGGTATTCACACAAGGAAGAAATACAAATGGACAATAAGTATCTGAAAATATACTTAACCTCAGTAATAACTAAAGAAATATAAAAATAAAATACTGTTTCTTACTTATCAGGGTGGCAAAATTTTTAAATATAAATTATATCTGGTTGGAAAGGGTCTGGGGAAATATACTGTTATTCACCATCAATGGGACTATAACTTGGAAAAGTCTTTTTGGAAAACAGTTGGGAAATAGCTATGAAAATTAAAACTGCATTTGCATATGAGCATGGACACATATCAATGTAAAAAGTGTGTAAAAGTGCAATGTATAGAAAATGGCTTGGAAAGATATATAATAAGCTTAATGGTATTTCTATTTCTCAGCAGAGGACAGACAGTGGATTGGAAGGAGAGTATTAATGGAAATTCGCTTTTTACACCAAGACTTAAAATTTGCTGTGTGTGTGTGTTAGTCAGTTGTGTCTGACTTTTTGAGAACCCATGGATTATAGCCCGCCAGGAACTTCTGTCCATGGAATTCTCCAGGCAAGAACACTGGAGTGGGGAGCCATCCCCTTCTCCAGGGGGTCTTCTTGACCCAGGGACCAAACCCAGGTCTCCTGCATTGCATTCTTTCCCATCTAAGCCACCAGGGAAGCCCTAATAATTGTTATTTTTGTAATTAAAGTTTTTGAATGAAAAATTAGTCACACTAGCTTTTCAAAGTCAAATAGTTAAATATATAAGGAAACAAAATATTTTAATTGATTTATGTCCCTTTAAAATAGGTTGCTGAGTATTGAGTAGGCATAGTCTGCTCAAATTTAAGTAAGTTTTGGAAAACTGAACCATAAACCATACCTTGTTATAGGTAGGGTGATATTTTACATCCCTGGGCAGTACTGATCATGGTTTGCTTTTTTAAAAAAAAAATTAATTAACTTATTTGGCCACACCAAATAAGTCTTAATTGCAGCACATGGGATCCTTGATCTTGGTTGCCGCATGCAGGATCTATTTAGTTACAGAATGTGGGATGCAGTTCCCTAACCAGAGATGGAAACCAGTCCTCCTGCATTGGGAATGTGGAGTCTTAGCCACTGGACCACCAGAGAAATCCCTAAACAAGGCTTGCTTTAAGCAATTAAAGATTAAAAATACAACCTTATGGAAAGCATTTTGAAATAAGGCTAGAGAGATTTTCATTTTTAAGTAAAAAATCATGAATTCTATTATTAGTTATCTTTTCTTTTTGGCAGAGTCTCTCTTCAATTTTTAAGCACGTGTGCCAAAGAAATGGCCTTCTGCCAACCCAAATTTATGTCCTTGTTCATTTTCAGGCCAAATTCATTCCAAATAACAGCAAGTCTTTCAAGAAATGTATATATTTTTAATATCAAAGATTTAAACCAAAAAAAAGTTATTTAAAATATAAAGAGACAGTCTTACTTGGTCCTCAAAAGATAGAGCCTGAGCGACGTCTCTCGGGAATCCGTCAATAACAATGCCCACTTCATCAGGCATTTGCATCAATTTTTGTTTTATCTCTGTAATTGTTGTTTCCTTTTTTTTTAAGAAAAAAGATGAAAAACCAGAGTTAAACTTACACTGACAACTAGTAGAAGAATCTTTTCAGAACAGAAGCAAATTATAACAGTACCTGTGGGGCCAGTTCTCCAGTTGTAATTATTTTGGCAATAAGACTCCATTTCCTATTGCTGCTGGTACTGTGGATCTTCTTCCTTAATAATTCTCCTACTGAAATGTACTGAAATCCATAACGTTCTGCGATTTTCAAACTCTGAGTACCCTTTCCACTTCCTGGACCACCTGTCATTTAAAACAAGCAAAACTTTGACCTTCTGATACAATAAGAAATCCCTTTTTATACAGCTATTGTCTTCATCTTGAGATGAAGAGTTTAGACCAGCAACCAGTGTGGAAACTATTCTACTTGTTTGTGACATTCTCAGAGCTACCTCTGAATGCAGAGAAAGTGTGGATTTTGTCAAGGAAAGGGTAGAACTGTCATGATCAACTTATTAAATGGAAGAGACCTTTTTTCCTTCACCAATTTTAGTAAACAATTAATTTTAAAAGTTGAATAATGCAACTGAAACCGCTTCCATTTTTTTTCTGTGTAAGCTCTAACACTTTTATCCTCTGTAATAAAAAAAAATCTGTGAGATATAAAAGACAATGATCAAAATGACAGAAATGTATTACACAACAATAGAGTTCAAGTGCAGTTTTGTGAAATGTAAAAATTAGTTTTAACCAAAAGCACAGCAATATTGACATGGCTTCTTTAAATTTTTCTTTGAACTGTCCAAGCATCTCTTTGTCTTATTGCCTTTAAATTCAAAAGAAGTTTGATGCAATAAATACGAAGAGTGAATGGAAGAGATCTTTAAGGTAGAACAATTTCACAGAACTCATGATAATTTTGATTTTGGGACACATTAGCATGAAATAATCAGTATTTTGCAACACAGATCAATACCAATAATTGGGAACTGCTATTTATTTTTTTAAAACATAAGCACCTAAATAATTATAAAATATATGCCTCAAATTTTATTTCTAAATATAATATCTTAGTTAATTTATATTTTTAGACACCTAGATTAATTGGAATCTAAAGTCTGGGTAAATTTCAAAATAATGCACATAACAATCATCCCACTCTGATTTGTTATTTGTTGGCAATTATACAAATAAAATATTTTCAAATACTTAATCATAAATTATTGAGTGTAGACAGAATATTTTAAAAATATGCAATGAACTATTTTTGGTAATATTCACTGAATATAATTCCAATTTGTTAAACCATATTGAAAATAAAAACTCAATAGAAAAGTGAGTTGATGGTCTCTTTACTAATTCCATTTACCAATATTTTGGGGGGTAGAAATCATTCTACATATCACTATTTAGTACATTTAAAAAAATTCTTAAAAAAAAAATTCTTGTTGCAAATAACAAGCAAAAAAAAAATGGTGTTTGTTTCACTTTGTTTTGGATTTTGTCGGAGAATTCTGAGTGAGTCAATTTGGTTGGCCAGGGCTTATTTTCTTTAAAAAATGTTTAACATCCAGAAGTCTAAGATCAGCTAGTATACTGAGATCCTTTTCTTAACTCAATCCCAAATACCATTCCTTGTAAAACTGGCTTTTGTCTTTTCATTGCCTCATTAAACTTAGAAATTTATTGACATTTTTGACATTCTCTTGCTAAGAAGCTCTAAATCCAATCCTATTAGACTTACCATCAAACTACCATTAATACTATATTAAATCCATTACTGCCAAATGAAAAGCAAGTTTTGGTCTCAAATATTCATAGCTGCTTTTGACCTATTAAATCATGGGCAAACCATGGACTGGCTTGAAGAAAAATAAATACATGACCAACGTTGTCAACTAAGTCAGACTAATTTGACCCCTGAAGAATGAAAGCTATCTTTCATAAACTACACTTTTAGACCTTTCTTAATCTTATGATCTCATAAGTCATCAAATTAAGACACCACAAGTTTCACTGAATTAAAAAAAAATTCAAACATGCTAAGAAACTTATGGCACCTTCAAGAAAAAATAGCTTTTTGTCAACTAATGGAGGCAACAATAGACAACAAAAAATATGATTAGCATAATTGACAGAGAATAGTATTAATATATTGGATGAATTTGATTACTGAAGCATCATAACAAATTAATCTTATTTTCTTCTCCCTGAAACCTGAATAAGTTTAATTTGCTACATTTATTTAATTCCACTACTTATAAATACTAGGATCTATCTTACTCTTAGATTTTACAATTATGCTAACATAAGAAAGATTCATTAATATCTGTGCCAAGAAGGCTAGCTTTAAAAAAATTTTTTTGTATTTCCAGAAGGGAAATCTTGCTTATTTAGATGTGGGTATCTGTACTCCCCCACTCTTTGTCAGGATGGAACTAATAAAAATTTGTAAGGTTCAGGTACAATTATTTTATAATTCCTCAAAAGTCATAAAATTGTCCCAATTTTCTCAGACAACCTAAGGTTCAATTCTTTTCTTCTCTTATCTCAGTCCTCTAAAAGTTATTTCCACTCACTGGTTCTGTTTCATTCTTATAACACATAAAATGTTATAACACATTGTGAAGTCTAAAACCAAAATCACACCCTTGGGAAACTAGTTGATTTTATTCAGTAAAAAAGAACTCTGAAGTGGATGAGGTTTGAGCATTTGTATCTTCTCCACATATCTTAGTTTACTGAAATATTTTAATCATTTTCATATAAAATTCACAGTGTACAAAAAATTCATATACATGCACTATTTTTACAACAGCAACTTGTATTACACCCTTTTCATGAACAATCAAGTTTTCATTTGTTTATCCTGATAATAATCACCATTACTGTATTAACAACAAGAAAAACAAAACTGAGAGAATATCTCATTATAAAATGATGAAATAATTTCCAACAATTCTTTATCTCTGGTTTTATCTTTTAGTAAAGCATTTCCTTGTCTTCTAGGCAAGAGCTCCAAAATTTTAAGCACATACACAAAAATTCCAGTTTCAAGAATAGATAGAGATTTATGGCATAATAGTTAGTGGTTGCCATAAACCATGAGAATATTTTGACATTTTAGAAAACTGATTTCTGTACTCTCATCTTACAATTATTATAACAATCCAGGGCTAAATATATTTGCAACTTTATTTTCATTACACTTAAAGATATACAAATGTCCCTCCTGCTAGTCTGGTAACTTGAATTCTTTTTCTTATGTTTATTGGCATGTTTTTTCTCAGTTGCCATCATCATTACATCTTTTGGGAACAGTATTTCTTTGCTTGGGGCCTGTATACATGTGGTCTTTGGCTAACAATTACTGACTAGAATAGCTTTGAATATCTCACACTAGATTTTTGCTTTTGGTCATCTTTGCAAAAGCTGAGTCAAATTGGAAAGTGAGACAATGATTACAAATGTTTCATGTTCACAGGTCTCTTCATAATTCTACAGCTTTTGAGGAAGCTAGAATTGCAAGGGTGGTCAAAAATGCATGTTGTAAAATTACTTATTTTCAATATTGATTCCTTGTGAAATGGCATCAGACTGATACTTTCATATTCAACATAAGATTCACAGTGGCGATTTAAAAAATTAAATATTATCCTTGTTATATTCATTAATACTCAGATGTTACTTGCTGCATAAAACTTTGTTCTATATCTAATAATATCAAACTTAGATTTTATTTTAGGTACCAGTATGTCATAAGGAAGATTCATTTATATGAATCTTTACCAACATATTATTATTATTTATTTTTTTTGCTCAAAAGTTAATAGTCAGTAAAAATTCCATTTGTTGAGTTAAAGGGAATAAAACCACATTATGTTAGAACACTTCTAATAGATGCAATTACCTACGTTAAAAAGCAAGCAGATAAAAACCACAAGACAACAAATCTTGAAGAGGTCATTCATTTACAATGACCAAGAATTTCTACGACATTGTAATGAGATTCTATAAATGTGCAATAGGCATTAAATATAACAATATCTTCTATTGAAAATGATGCTAAAAATATGTCTATCTACTGTCTCTCGAGTTTTTGTTTCTATTCTATTTATTATCCAACTAAGTATTTGCAATTACGGTGCATAGTTGACATAATTTTTGAAATATAAACATATAAACAAAGAGAGCAATAATATGAGAATTTTGCTTTCTGCCTCATACCTATGACAAGAATGATCTTTGGTCGAGGTCTAGTAGGATCAAAGACCTCATACTCCTCAATTAGCTCTGCAGTCTCAGAAAGGTCTGTGTCACTTTCTATGGAGAATTGATGGATTGGAGGGAGCCGATCATACCGTCGATAAGGAAAGTTTGAATTTTCAGGCATTACTGCAAAAGAGTAAGATAACTTTGAAACGGAAAAAAAAAAAGCACAATAAAACATTTTATGCACTTAACCAATTAGTTGAAGAAATTTTAACAGTAAATGATTTTGATTGTTTTCAACTGAGAGTAGATTCCTATCCCCTTAAGTGGTCGGCAAACTTTTCCTTAAAGGGTCGGATAGTCTCCACTTGGGGCTCTGAGGGACATAGAGTCTCATACTACAATGATCAATAGTTAGGAAAACAGTCTTAGACAATAAGTAAACAAATGGATGTGCTTGTGTTCCAATTAAACTTTGTTTCTAAAAAACAAGCAGTAAGCCAGATTTGGCCCTCGGTTCACAGGCTGCCAACTTAGGCCCTAGAGGAACCTTCTTAAGCTTGCCCAGTCTTGCTTGGTAGTTCACGTATATCCTGTTTTCCGAAAATGGTGCTCCCTAGAGTAGTGTACTGCATACCTTCACAACTTTCTCAACTATATGCAGCTGCCCATGGAGGTAATGCTAACATTGTTTCATTTATCCATAAATATAGATATGCAGTCACTATGATTCAGGTACTATGATGTCATTCTGTGGAACAGCTTGGTGGCATAATGCACAAAAACTTAAGGTATTGTTACAAGGCAGAGAGTACCAAATGTTTCCTACATTTGGAACATCTTTCATTGTCATTTAACTTTACTTTCCCAATATTTATTATCTTTAATCTCCTTGACTTAAAAATGTGACTATGAAGATTTAAATTTACATCTACAATAGCAACAAATATTTGCTATTTATTGTTAGACATGTTAGTGTGCTGAGGATGGTTCAGTAGAAGAATAAAATAAGATGTAATCCTGTCCTCACAGAGCTTACAATATAGAGCTTACATGCTTATATTTGGTAGCAGTGTGTATACTAGGTTTGTTAAGTGCTAAAATGAATATCTCTATGGTAAACACCATAGGAGTTCAATGAATGAGTAGGTCCATCTGGGCTGGAGTGGTATAAAAGAACTTGCAAAGGAGGTAGGACTTGAATTTTGAAAGACTAGAACAGGTGATGAAATGTAGAAAGCATTTCTCAGTTGGGAGAAATAAAATACAAGACTTAAGAGTCGGAAATACAAATGACATATTCAAATAGACCAGAGGACAGAGCTGGCAAGCCCAAGTCAGGCAGATGGCCTCAACCAGCTATTGATATTTGATTCATAGATCCTTCCTTCTTCATCATGGGCTGGTATTCAAGGAGGCAAAGAGAAGCTGTAACTACCCCAAAGGCAACAGCACAAAGGAGATGGAAAGTCACCTGGCCTTCCATGAGAAATCTGGTTAAGAGCATTACTGGATTTTAGCATGGCATAGTTCTCACATCTCCCCAGGGGATGTTGATCAGGCAGAACTTTTCATTTTCTGTTCATACAATAAATGAGGTCATTGACTACTGACTCATGGGACTCACTTTAATTACAAGAAAAGAGTGAGGTTGTCTACAGATGACAGTGGGTATTCTTTAGAAAATTCTGGGAAGGGCTATGTCAGTAAAGGCACTAACAATATTATCCTGTTCTGCCTTGAAATTGAATTGCTTCATCCAACACAGGGCAACACTTTAAGCATTACCCTTGACTATTTTCTTCCCTCACTCTTTACATCTGTTCCCATAGACTTACCTCTAAAACATATCCGAAATGCACAGTTTTTTTTTTCCTCTGTCTCCACTACCACAACTCTTCCCCAAACTACCATCATTTACCCAGACTACTGAAATAGACCTCTACTGGTTGCTTGCTTTCACACTTGGCCCAAAGTCCATTGCTTGAAATACTCTTTCCTTACTGATCCCATGGCTAACTGCTTCTTGTCACTCACATTTCAGTTTAAATGTCACCTCCTATAAGAGGACTTTACTGACATTTTAATCCGGGGCAGCCACCCAGTTAGTTTCAAGGACATCACCCCTTATAATAATGCTCTGCATAGCACATACCTCTTCACTATCTGAGAGGCCTCTAATTCATTTGCTGTTTGTCCTCTCCCATTAGAAAAAGTTCCATGACAGCAAACAACTTAGCATGCACATGGAGAAAAGCCAGAAGATGGGTAGGTAGTGTGTGGTCACAATGTGGAGGACTTTAATCACCAGGGTAAGGGTTTCAGCTTCACTCTGGTAGAAACCCAGTGGAGCCTTTTTTGGGGGTAGAGGGATCACATAATGAAATATGAAATATGCTTTTCAGGAAAATAAATCTGGTGGTGGTTAGAATGGATTTGAGTAGGGAAAAACTAGGGGCAGAAAGAGTACAGCTAGGGGGCTGTTAAAGTAATTCACACAAGAGAAGTGAGGGCTTAGGTAAGAGGGGAAGTAGGGGATATGGAAATGAGTGGCTGGATATGAAGGACATGATTTGGATTAGGATATGGGGTTCTCAGATGGTGCTAGTGGTAAAGAACCTGCCTGCCAATGCAGGAGACATGAGTTCAGTCCCTGGGTTGGAAAGATCCCCTGGAGGAGGGTATGGCAATTCCCTCCCATAGTCTTGCCTGGAGAATCCCATGGACAGAGGAGCTGGTGGGCTACAGTCCAAAGGGTCGCACAGGTTGGACACGACTGAAGCGACTTAGCATGCACACATGCATGAGAGATCAGTGAAGGTGACTGTTCAAAAACAACTGCCAGGTGTCAAGCCTAAAAGATAGGGAACACACTGCATTTCATAGTGTATCTTCCTGCCCTCTCTTTAATGCTCCAGAAATACTGGGCTTCTCTCCTTCCTGTCTTTATTCTGGCCTCTCCTTCTATGTCAGGTATTTCTGTTCTCTGTTCCCCAGTACACTCTCAATCTCCTCCATCCTTTTATATCTGACACCTACACAGCTTTCTGTCTCTTATATTAGCATATCAGTTCTTCTAGGAAGCCTACCTTGAATCTAGCCCAGGATGGATCCATCGGCCTTGTTAATATCAGTTATGTAGCATATGGTATTTCCTATAACATTCACTGTGCTTCTAATTACATATTTAATGCCTGGCTTCATCCTACACTGTGAGTTCCATGAGGGCATGTGCCACATTTGTTCTTTCTTGGAGGCTCCACAACGTCAGTCTTAAAAGAATGTCTGACATATAGCAGTACTCAACACATGGTTATTTTATAGCTCAACTGACTCATTGACTGACTCCATGGAAATCAGAAAAGGAGGGTCATTTTGAAGCAAATATGATATGTTTAGTTTTTGACATGTTGAGTAAAGATGACAATGAGATATTCCAAAAGAAAAGTTCTGTGGACATTTGGAGCTATGGGACTAAAACTCTTAATTTATGAGCAATCATTTGTTTAGTTGTACATACACTGCAAAAAATGGATGCTCATCTCACATTTATAGTACAACATTTTAAAGAACCATCAGCTAATAATTTATCCTTGTTTTATCATGTTTTTACTTAGAAAAGTAAGTTGCTTAAAAATTATTAAAATGTTTTATTTCACAGAATAATTTTTCATGATAATTACATATTAGCATAGCTCTGTCAATATTTCAGCAAAAATGCAAAAATTACTTTTTATTTCTAGAAATAATAACAACACTTTAAGTTACAGAGAAGGTAGCAATACTGTTGATTTTTAACAATATAGTCTATAAACCACAGTTAAAAACCTACAAAGCACAAACTTGTACAGCGTTTCATAAAATAAAATTTGATTATTACAGGAGTCTTCAGTTTAGAAACTATTTTCTGCCTTTTAGGCTATGTTCCAGATATCAGACAGTGTGATGCAACATTCTTGTTACTATAGTATGTGAAAGCTTTTACTTGATGATTAAGCAAAAGATTTCTAAGTGGGAATTCTGGTAAAGTGTCAGTAGGTATGGAGAGTCTAAAATTAACAAGCAATTTCAATTTTAATGAAAGTTAAACCTACATTTTCCATTCCTATTGTAGCTCATCCTGCTAATCGAGAGTTCAAAATGGTCATCAGTGGGTCCAATGTAGCCCCATAGACGTGCTTTGTTCATCTTGATGTGTTTCCAAAATCTGTGCTAAACTGCCTTTAGACAATGACTGATCCCTCTAGTCTTGTTCTCCAGTTTCACCATAGTCCCCACCATTGTCTATTACATACTTGGCCTGCCTGGCTTCTATATATAATGAAGACAAGTAATAGTATAAAACAGAAGCATTCAGATTTCATTTTGTTACAAAACAGTAGTTTATACAACCAGTCTGAGAGTAGCTTTTCAATTAGGTAAATGTCACATCCTCTTAGACTTGCTTTTGAAAGCATAAACATATCTTAGACTAAATCCAGTAACACTTAAGGTTTGTAGAGCTTTAAGGTTTAAAAAGAAGTTCCCCATATTTGTCACTTGATTTAACAAGGGCAGAGGGCACGTATTTAACATTGAGCCAGATTCAAATATATTATGACATTCTGGGAAGGAAAGTAGCCCTTTGGGGAAGGTGTATGAACCCTTTAAGCTCACAGAAATATCATTGTGTTCCCTTAAGCAGTAATTTTCTAAGTGGTCTGCCACGGTGATAACTGCCTACAGGTGCTCTTTTGAACAACAAAGCCTAAATGACCTAGAGGAGCTCCTGCATGGACAGAGAAGTCTTCTCCTCTCCGGAGATATTTCTGAGACAATAGCATTTCTGCTTTTTCTCCTTGCTTGTGTTTCTTAAAAATTAATACACTATGACTCCTCCCCATGTTCAAATAAAATTTAAGGGGGTCAAGGTAAGATGTTGCTGTAGTTTAGTCGTTAAGTTGTGTCTGACTCTTTGCTACCCTATGGACTGTAGCCCACCAGGCTCTCCCGGAGCCTGGAATATTCTTGCCGGAATTTTCCCGGCAAGAATACTGGAGTGGGCTGCCATTTCCTTCTCCAGGGGATCTTTTCAATTCAGGGATTGAACCCGTGTCTCCTGCATTGGCAGGTGGGCTCTTTACCACTAAGCCACCAGGGAAGCCCCACTGGTAAGATATAACAAACTAAAATGTATTTCCCCTTGTATTTATTGCAAATAGAATTGTCTCTGTTTCAAATTCTGTCTGCATAACTGAAACTTATCTAGGTACAATTTTTGAGAATGGTTTAAATTTTGAAAATAGAATGATTTTGGCCACTGGAAAAGAATTAATTGGCTTCTTCTGATTGGAACTGATTCCACTTTGCAAATACTATTGTATTTCTCAGTTTTATCTGGAGCCTAAAAGGCTGCTTGGCTGATGTTGAACTAATTTTGATGAACACAAATTTTGAAAAGCTAGAATACCATGAATCTCCTCTAGTGAACTCCAGTTCTTAGTTCCAAATTATTCCTAAAATTGTTAAACAAGTTTATGCATCCCGTTTCTTTTATAGCACCCAAATGCCTAATCTCATGCTTTGCATTCAGTAGCTGCTAAATAAATCCTTGAGTTAACTAGTATAAACTTTACATACATTTATGCAGATACATTAAAATGAATTTGGAAACACAGCAACAAGTTAAATCTCTTCTTAGCTAATAAAAATGTTATAGTTATTATAACTATTGACTTTGTCTGTCATCTACTCATTTATTTGGAAAAGTCTTATTGCAATTTTAAGAAAAATTCAGTTTGTTAATGTAACTCATTTTACAAAATAATGAAGTCAGTAAAAAATTTCATTAAGCTTCTAATGAAGTACTGAACAATGGTATGTAATTGTGTTTGTCTTATCATAGAGATTAGAATTAGCAGCAGAGAGAAATTAGTCATGTTTCAGGACCAAATATCCTTTCAGGCATTTGAAAACCTATTAAATTAAATCACTGCCCACAGTTTATATGTTACGTTTTAAAGAATATTGCTATAAATATAAACTATTATTCTACATATACATTACCATTTCTTAGGAAGGATCTCCGTGACTGTCCTCCATTGAGTGGAGGTAAAGTCTTCTTCTCCTGGCTTACAAATGTATCCCATTTCACCTTGTCACATCCCCCTAATTCTTTTACTTTCTGTAAACAACTTTCCAAGTACTCTATTGGGTCTTCAGGCTTCGAACACATCAGTCCATTCAAAAGGCTCTGAAATATAACAACAAAATACGTCCACATAAAATATGTTTTTAAACCACCTTTGTCAAAATAGTGTATATCCCATCTTTAAATTCTGGGTTGTTTAGATTCTTTGCATTTTTTTAAATAAACAACTTGAGTTGAAATTATGTTCTAATTGAGTAATTAAAACAACCCCTTAAATTCTTGACCAGTTAGTTTTCAGCTCAGCATTCTCTGTCCTTTAAACAACTAAGGCCAACTGCATTGTTTAAAATGGAAGAAATCTATCAATATGAGACTAAGTACAGTGTATAAAAATGCCCCAGTCACGATTGATTTCATTCCTACCCATCCTTAAAGTCTCCAAGCCTCAGTTGCAGAGGATGATTTATGGATTGAAATGCCTGAAACACAGTAAATAATAAATGTTGATGGTTTTAATCACCATCATAACCATCATCAGAAAGGCCCCACTGAGCCCTTGGGTTGGGTTGCAGACCCCTTCTTTGGTGTTCATTATACCCAGAAAAAACTCTCACCTGTCATTCATACTAAAACCATCAGTTTATGTTTTGGTCTTCTCTTCTAACCTATAAAATCTTCAACAATACAGTGTGGGTCTTATTTATTTCTCAATATCCAGCCTCTGACACTTTGCCTTGCACATGGCAGGTACATCCTGGACTGTTCTCTAATCAGAAAAAAAATTCACTCAAAACATAAAGACTGACTCCAAAAACTCTGTTTGATATATAATAAATCACTACAATGTGTATATTTCAATATGTAATTGAAATTACAGAACAAAGCCTGGTGTCCTGGTGTCTGATATGTCACAAGTATCAATTTCTATAAATACTAAAAATTAGGAAATGCTCATTCCTGGGAACTGAACTGATGTGAAAAATGTTTTCATTTGGAGTATTTTATGGAATACTCCATATTGAGGATTATTATCACTGTTATTAATTTTAAAAATGTACACTCTTTGAAAGGCTAACAGCTTTTTTAAATACAGCATTTTATTTTCAAATTATTCTTGTGCAAGTTGCTCAAAATGGTAGGCAGTTTCTACCAGGTGCATTAGTCCTCTGAAATCCTAAATAAGATGGGTTACAATGTTCAATTTGAGGGGTTCAATGGCAGAGGGAGTAGAAAAAGCTAACCTGGGCATTCACATCCAGTTTATATGTCAAGGTCTGTGCTACACACACACACACACACACACATTGCGTTTAACTCCTCACATTCCTCCTACATTAACGTAGCTCACTCCATGACAGGGCTTACTCTAGATCTTACTGTATATCTATGTGCTTAAGCTTACTTAATGCACTTTCAGTCCTATGTGGCATTATTATCCCCATTCATAGACTAGGAAATCAGGGTTCAGAGGTGTTAGTGAGTTGACCTAGGTTACTCAGCTAGAAACTCCTAGGCCTAGGATTCCAACTCAATGGTTTTGATTTCCTATATTCCTCTCTCTACATCTTGCAAAAACATATATGGAATAAAAAGAAAGTGCCAGAAAATCTGTGCCCCATAGGTAATCCAACTGCAATTTGAGTCATTCAAGATTGAAAGTGAAAGTGAAAGTCACTCAGTCTTGTCCGACTTTTTGCAACCCCATGGACTATACAGTCCAAGGAATTCTCCAGGCCAGAATACTGGCGTGGGTAAGCCTATCCCTTCTCCAAGGGATCTTCACAACCCAGGGATCAAACCCAGGTCTCCTGCATTGCAGGTGGATTCTTTACCAACTGAGATCAGACCTTTAATTTTTTTATCCCTCAGTTCAGTTCAGTCACTCAGTCGTGTCTGACTCTTTGAGACCCCATGGACTGCAACAAGGCAGGCCCCACTGTCCATCAGCAACTCCTGGAGCTTGCTCAAACTCATGGCCATTGAGTCAGTGATGCCATCCGACCATCTTATCTTCTGTCATCCCCTTCTCCTCCCGCCCTCAACCTTGCCCAGCATCAGGGTCTTTTCCAATGAGTCAGTTCTTCACACCAGGTGGCCAAGTTAGAGTTTCAGCTTCAGTATCAGTCCTTCCAATGAATATTCAGGACTGATTTCCTTTAGGATTGACTGGTTTGATCTCCTTGTAGTCCAAGGGACTCTCAAGAGTCTCCTTTAACACCACAGTTCAAAAGCATCAATTCTTTGGTGTTCAGCTTTCGTTATAGTCTAACTCTCATCCATACATGACTACTGGAAAAACCATAGGTTTGACTAGATGGACCTTTGTCAGCAAAGTAATGTCTCTGCTTTATAATATGCTGTCTAGGTTGGTCATAGCTTTTCTTCCAAGGAGCAAGTGTCTTTTAATTTCATGGCTGCAGTCACCATCTGCAGTGATTCTGGAGCCCAAAAAGATAAAGTCTGTCACTGTTTCCATTGTTTCTTTATCTATCAGCCACGAAGTAATGGGATCGGATGCCATGATCCTAACTTTTTGAATGTTGAGTTTTAAGCAAACATTGAGTTCTTATCCCTTTTATTGGCTAAAATGAGTAAACATACTCAATGAAGAATTTTTTGCTGGAAAATATATGTTTCCACCCTCTCTAACCAAGTCTGATTCCACAAGGGGTACAGATATCAGAAGCTAGGATGAGGTTCACTCCTTCATAGATAATTTAAATCTTTTCTTCTAATAGTCACCATCAGGGATCCGAAACAACCAGCAGATATTGTTTTACTCAGTCTTTTTTTTTTTTTTTTCAAATAGGTACCATTTTTATTTTTTTATTTTTTTATTTTTTACTCAGTCTATTTGAGTTAACCCTCTGAGAACTTGAGTAATTTATTTTGACTTTCCCCAGTATTCAAATGAATTGCCAAATCTCTGCTCTAAGGTACAATGACACAAGATCAATATACACACCATAAAGTTAACTAGAGTTAAGATTTCATAACAAAATGAGGGAAAAGTGATTTTTGCCTTAAACATTTAATCTAGAAATGGAAGCACATCCCAAACTTGAACCTATCCTTTAAGCCCATGTGATGTCTCATGTCAGAAAGAAATCTGAAATGTCAGTAAGATACAGATTGTTGCTTGACAATATGCAGATTCAATAATCATTCACTTGGTCTACAATGGTGTCTAATATCTACAATTGTGTCCAATGTTTTGGGTTTGATAGATATTTAATTGAAACTTTATATACCTAGAAACTTTATACAGGTACCCATATTGCGGTTTTGAGGGATAAAATTCAGTTTGGAAACTTAAAGCATTTGGTTTTGCTATCTACATTCATCACATGGAGAACTGCCAAGTTTTACTTCTCTCTTGTGCTATGCTCAGCACAGATTCTTCTTATAGGAAGGATGGAGACTTTGGAGGTCACCAGCAGTCTCCTTCCACCTTCGCATTGCCTGGGATTGCATTTAAGTACTCTATAATTCTGTATTTCACCTAAGCAAGTTGAATTCCTTTTCTGGGTGTGTACTATTTTGTAACCTCCCATTCATATGCACAAAAGCCAAGGAAAAGCATAGCACCTGAACAAAAGCACCTGCCATCGCTTATTTGTATAAACAGTTTCATGAACAAACGATCAAAATTCTCTGTGGTTACCAAGGGGAAAAACAGGACCCACATTTATAAAGAAAATAGGAGTACTATTTAAGTGGTACTTTGCAATCAGGTGACCCTCCTGCAGATGCTTCTAATTACTCTTTTAGGAATGACACTGATCTCAGTAGTAGTATTTATGGACAAAACGCTTCAGCTCTTCATCTCCATGTTTACTTTTTGAAAATAGAAACAAAGAAAAATTCTTAACAAGAATCCTACAAATCCTCAAGACCTGTCCTTATGCAACATCTCCTGATTATTTTCAAATACTAGTGACACATTTGCTAGACTTGAGTTTCACATACTAGGCTTGAGCTCAGTGGGTGATTTACCTGGATATCTTGTTTTCAGAATAGACCTGAAATCGGTGGTTTAAGAGGTGAGTTAAAAAGGAAGGTCTGTAATTATGGAGGTCCATTTAAAGACAATTTGGGAAAACGGAGGCAAAATTATTTTTCCAAGTAGTGTTATAAAATTCCTTTTAGCAGAACAATCCCCCTCAAATAGGAGAAAGAGCAATGCACGACTTCTAGTTTACTATATTAATCTATGGTCTATCATCTTTCAGAAATGAGGGACCCGTTTTCAGGACTCGCTCTATGAAGCCTGGCTTGCTTCCATTTTTTTCCTTAACCTAAGTAAAAACACAGGATTAAGGAATGCTATAAAATTCAAATACAGAGAGAAGGAAAGGAAGCAAAACAACTCGCGAGGTTGGCTGTCATTTAGAACTAACCAAGGTTCTAGTTCACCCTCCAGCCTCCTCTCCTACGTTCTCAAAGTGTCCCCATCCCCGGGGTCCCTGGTGCAGATGATGCTGTGATGCGGTGGGAAGACAGAGCAACAGGAGTCACGCCCGCCTCGCCACTCCCTCTCAGACTGGCTTTCTCTAGGTGGGTTGGTTAAGGCGGGCGAAAGCTATGGGCTGGGGAGGTGAGGAAGGAGAACCATCTCTTCCAAGACGACGGGAAAACGTGCTCGGCAGTTCATTCACCGAAAGCGCAGAGCAGCGCTGGGTGACTGCCATCCGGGAGTAGCGTTGCCTCTGATGGGTTTGGATTTGTTTTTTTGCATCTTCATCCTTCTCCTCCAAGCTATCCCTTGTCCGGGCCCCTTTCATCCTCACTTCCCAGTCAAAGCGGGGGTCCCGACCCTCGGCGCGCGGAGGGACTGGGGCTCTGGACCCCTCGGTTCAGAGTCCTTGCTCGCTGCTAGGTGCCAGGGTACCCACCTGCCCTGATCCTCGCCCCCGGAGTGCGCGGCTGGCCGCTGCCAGCAAGCCCACCCTGGGAGTCCGCATCGGAGGGATGCGCGGGGGGCAGCCTGCTTTCAGAACCAGTTTGAAGACTGAAACTTGATTTTCGAGATGGGGGCTTCTGAGCCCAGCCACCCGACAAGAGCCGAGCCATCCAAGGACCCGGCAATCCGCCAGAAAGGCAGCTACCCCGGGCAAGCGGGCGAGCAAGCTTCTGCACGCGCCCTCACTTGCTTGCCCCTCGTCGTCAAGGTGGGACGGGGCGCGGTTTCCGTACCCAGAACCTCGGGGATGCCCTGCCCCGATCTCCCCGTCGGTCTCTGCCAGACCTAGCCCCCTACCTCGAAAAGCTGAGGGATTTCTCTCCGGGCCAGATACTCCTTGGCTTCGTTGGTGTTCATGGCTGCTTCGCGCGTGCCTTGGGGCGCAGACGGGAGGCTCCGGGGCTGCGGCGACCTGGGCCGGGGCCGGCGGTGTCGGTGCCGAGCACCGTGCAGCCCTCGCTTTCACGCGCAAACACTCACACGCTCGGCTCTGCCAGCTCAGGCCGAGCTCCACTCTGCCTCTCCCCGGGGACTGTGGTCTCAGCGCTCCCGCCGCCCGCGCCTCTGTGCTGGTCCCCGCGCCCGAGCTGCGGGCTCGGCGCCGCGGCTTCCCAGGTTCCGGGCTTCGCGGCCGCCAGGGGAGAGGCGGAGAGAGCGGAGGAGGGAGGACCGCGCGGCGGACGCCAGGCAGCAGCCCGCCCGCCTCTCCGGCTCCACACGCGGTGCTCTGCACCTCCCGAGCCCGGTCTGCGGCGGCGGCGGCGGCCAGTTACGCTGCGCGGGCGGTGCGGGGTGCGAGGGTGGATGCGGGTGCGCGCGGGGGGCTCGCAGTCACACCTCCCGTGTTACACTGCGCCCCCGCACCGTGCTTCCCCGCGCGCCGCCCCCGGGACGCGGCCACCTGGAATCAGGTGGCCAAAGGAACAGACTCCGGGTCTGTAGGAACCTGCGACCCTTTCCCTTACACACACACACACACACACACACACACGAGTTACTCCTGAATGCCCAAGGAACTCCCAGGAAGAAACCTAATTGCCACAGCATTTATGGTTTATTTCTAAAGTTACCGATCCTTAATAGGGAGCTGGGAGAGAGGAGTGAAGGGAACTGATGGTGTGGACGCCATCCCCTTATGATACTTCTACCCTGCACGAAAGTTTTACCAGCTAGTCTTGTTTTTCCCTGTTAGTGTTACGAATCCTTACAGTGAGGCTGAAATTCTCCTTAACAGAAGGATTAGTCAGTAGTCAACTAGTTAATTACTTCTGTAGAGAGGAATGGGAAGGTGGAGAATTGGGTGGTGGTGGAGAGTCGGAGATTGCTTCAATTGGAAACGGGCTTAGTAGGTGGATGGGCGCCACCATTAATTTGATGGGAGGAATGTGCGGGTTGGTGAACCGCAGGCCATTGGAGGACCCTGGGGTGGGTATGGGTGGGTGTGATAAAACAACGTTTACTGGTTAAGTATCTTCTGTTACAAAGCATTATCAAGGTGCACCATCCCCGTCCCATCTCCCATGATGACTCATTTCCCCCATCACGATGTCATTTCGTTGCCTGCTTGGAAGATGGTCCCTGTCACCCTGGGGACATGACCTCTAGCTCTGTACAAGGCCTGACACGTGGGAGGGCTTGTCAGAGGAAAGGAGGCTCTGACAGTAATTGCCATCTGGGGTTGGGCCAGGGAGAGAGAGGACACCGCAACTGCTTCCAGAAATCTTGTCTGTCCGTTTCAAGTTCATCTTTGCAGATCTTTTCTTGGTTCTATTTCTGGTTACAGTAAAAACTGCTTCTCATGCCTTCACTATAGTGGCAGTTTTGTTTTATCAAGAATTAATTGAGTTTTATAAAGTAAAAGGGGGGAGGGAGCTCAAGAATTAATTGAGTTTTATAAAGTAAACGAAGTTTTCTGAGGACTTGTGAAACCATGTGTCTTATGGTAGCCTTAAATGAGGCAGGTGTTCCATAGAAATTGGTTTCTGCCCTCAGAATATGCCACATCATTTATAGTCCAGCTACTGACGTTCTTTGCCTTGTTTAAGAGCAGATTATGGAAGTTGTGAAGCATTGTCTGCTCCCTGTGCAACAGTGCTTGGTAAGTACCAGAGTCCGTGGCATGAAAGCTTAGCTTACACCATGAGCAGGCACAGCTGAGATGAAGCACCTAAGACTGAAGAGGCCACTTTCTGCAGGACCTTTCAAGTCATGCTTTATGGGCAAGAATCTGGCAGAACACAGCTCACATCTACTCTCTTAGGAAGGAATGGATCCTGAATGGATATGTGATTCTAAATGAACTTTATTGTAGTCAGGCAAGGATGACAACTTGCTTGTATAAAAAGAATGAATAAGAAAGACTGCATTGTACTGAATAGTCTAAATAGCCTGAAAAACATAGTAACTGGAGAGAGATATAAGGAATTTCCAGGTAGCATTATGCACTGATAGTCAGGGCTTTTTAGTATGTTCCAGATGTATTATAAAAGCAAGATATTCATAATTTCTTTTGCAAAGGGAGTTGTATCCTGTGAGGGAAGGGCTGTATGGGGGAACTATAATGCTTAAAAGCCAGGCTGATGGTTTGGAAGAGAGGAAATAGGCCAAGGAACAACACATACATTCTTGCCATAGAAAAGCTGGCTCATCACTTCCTGATGTGTGTATATATATCTACATGTGTATATATATGGTAGGTATATAAAGGGTTCATGGCCCTTTGCCGTTTGTTTACTTGGGGATATGTTGTTGCATGCTTCAACAAATCAGGATCTTACTGCAGCCTAGTGTGTTCAGGCAGAATCTCTTCTCTCCCACGTTGTGCTAGGAGAGTGTGCTGGGTTATATAGCAGGGAATAAGGCAGACACAGTTCCTGCTATTTGGGCTTCCCCGCTAGCTCAGCTGGTAAAGAATCTGCCTGCAATGCAGGAGACCCCATTTTGATTCCTGGGTTGGGAATATCCCCTGGGGAAGGGATAGGCTACCCTTTCTAGTATTCTGGCTTAGAGAATTCCATGGACTGTACAGTCCTTGGGGTCACAAAGAGTTGGACACGACTGAGCGACTTTCACTTTCGAGGAATTCCTATTCTCATGGGGAGTGTGTGTAAGAAGTGCAGATGGACAGTAAGCAAATAAAAACACAGAAACAACATCAGATACTGATACATGAAGGGCAGATAAACAACTAATACCTGTCTCACCAAAGGCATAAGTGAGAACATATCAGATGTTGATAAATGTAATGATGAAAATCAAATATGCTTAACTATTGATTTGAAGCAAGGAGGTGGAGTTTAAATTGTTTGCAGGAAGCAGCAGAGGAAGTCGGAATAGCAATAACCTTTGAGGTGATAACTAGAACTTTCCAAAGGTCCAGACATCCTTGAGGAGGATCCTTTTGGTGGGACTGCTTCTCTGGCTCACTGCTGACACACAGGCTGTATCTCAGCAAAGGGCTGAACCTTGATCTGTCCCCAGGAAGCAGCTGTTTAAGAGTAGAGGCCATTGGCTCCATCCACACAAAGATGGCTCAAGGACCCTATGCCCAGGAGAGCACTTCCCAACCTGCACAGAGATGGCTGGAGCCCCATGCTTAAATCCTCATATATTCATAACAGACATTTATGCCATCTATAATTTAAATGAGGCCAGTTTAACTGCAGAAAATTTTTACTGATAAAGTATCAAATATTTCTCATGCTGTAGTTCCTCACCCCAGGAAAGGAACCTGAGAGGATCCTCCATAAGCACTTGGTTTATATGACAGTAATGATGTGATGACAAGTTTGACCATAACACAAAGTAAAAATTTGTTGAGTGTTCTGAGTCAGACATTGTGATAAGCACTTTATAAAGTATAATTTATTGTTGTGTTCAGTCGCTAAGTTGTGTCTGACTGCAATCCCATAGACTGCAGCAAGCCCAAGCTCCTCTGTCCTCCACTATCTCCCGGAGTTTGCTGAAATACATGTCCATGGAGTCAGTGATGCTATCTAGCCACCTCATCTTCAACCGCACTCCTCTCCCTTTGTCTTCAATCTTTCCCAGCATCAGGGTCTTTTCCAATGAGCTGGCTCTTCGCATCAGTTGGCCAAAGTTTTGGAGCTTCAGCATCAGTCCTTCCAATGAGTATTCAGGGTTGATTTCCTTTAGGATGGACTGGTGTGATCTCCTTGCTGTCCAAGGGACTCAAAATCTTCTCTAGCACTACAATTTGAAAGCATCAGTTCTTCAGTACTCAGCCACCTTTATGGTCCAACTTTCCCATCTATTCATGACTACTGGAAAAACCATAGCTTTGACTATACAGACCTTTGTTGGTAACTTTTTAATGTCTCAACTTTTTAATACATTGTCCAGGTTTGTCATAGCTTTCCTTCCAAGGAGCAAGTGTCTTTTAATTTCATGGCTATAGTCACTGTCCACAATGATTTTGGAGCCCAAGGAAATAAATCTGCCACTGTTGCTACTTTTTACCTTTCTACTTGCCATGAAGTATATACAAAGCATGTTACATATGCCATATTTGATTCTTAAATCAACCTCTGAGATATGTATTGTTTTCATTATATAAATGAAATAACTGATATTCAGAGGGCCTAATCCCCAGGTTATACTAGTAGTTACCATGAGTCCATCTGCAAATCCCTATGCATCCTCATCCCTTTGAACATCATTATATCATGCCTTTCAAGGTTAGAAAGGCCCCGCATGTGTGGGTGCTCAGTCGCTTCAGTCATGTCTGACTCTTTTGTGACCCTGTGCACTGTAGCCCACCAGGCTCCTCTGTTTATGGGATTTTCCAGGCAAGGATGCTGGAGTGGGTTGCCGTTTCCTCCTCCAGTACAAAGGCCTGCAACCATTTTTTATTTTGTACCTTTCAATATTCGTTGAGAGTCCTTCCATTCTTCTGTTCTTATTCCCTTCCTTCCTTTCTTTTCTCAGCAGATATTATTTTGTGTTTGAGGGGAAACTTGTATAATGACAAGTTTAACTCTATAGATTTTTCTAATTGCTCAAGGTCCTTTTCTATTTGAAAGATTTTTCGTGGTTCAGAGGTTGAACTCAACATTCCTATTTACTGAAATCATGAATGTTGAATTTCTCTCATTTTGTACAAACCTCCCCCCACCCAGTATCTCTCTCCTAATTATTTTATTTCCCTCATTAATTGACAACCCACTGGGCCATTTGTATTTTCACAGCCATTTGTAAATATTGAAAAAAAATTCTTTTATATTGTAAATATAGAAAAAATTTTCTTTATTGTAAATATAGAAAAAATCTAAATATATGAGATTTCCCACATTGTGTAATTGGCCTGATAAATATGCCACTTATTTACATGTTTTTAA